TTTTTTAGGTTATTAATCTTACTAGGTTAGTTTGCCTTACCTTCAGTTTACATCTGCCTCCCTGAGTCAGCAGAACAGGCTAGATTTTCTTTTGATACATGCATTAATATTGGAACTGTTGTGAAAAATGAAAAATTTACGTGGAGGCACCCACCAGTAACATTCAATTACAACTTAATTGCTCGTAAGTTTACCTGTTTGGGTCAAGGTTACCAAAGGTAATACATGAGACAACACGGTTTTCATTTTTCACAGTGTTGTCTCCCTGAACCTCGAAGAGAAGACCTTGGTAGTCCTTAACATAGTCTTTCCACTTCCAAAGGGTATTCATACTTCAGAAACTCAGCATGTATTTTTAGTTCCTTCTCAAGAGTTTTGATAGTGTTTTTCTCTTAAATGTTCCTTAAAACTAATGTCAGTGTTTCCTGCTCTGTAATTATTGTTTGCCAACATCAGGAGCAGGTTCCCAAAATAATCTTTCCTCATATGAGTAGATCTTACCCACGTGATTTGCTCCAGTGAAATCAGTTATCTGTTTTAAATACTGCCTCTGAGATAAAAGGAGATTACAGCATCAGACCTCCCACAGAATTTGCCTACCAGCTTAATTGTTTTATAAGCACAGGCCCAGCCTGCTCTATCAAGTTTTGCCTGCGTAGCTGTACTGGTTCAAGAGCTGAAATTTTCTTAGACCTTTGTCGATGGCAAAATCTTAGATGACAATACAACTATTCTCTCTACCAAGAGAGCAATGCTTTTGTCTATGTCATGTGGTGAGGGAGGTAGTGTAGCTGTGTGACTCAAAAAAAAAAAAGGAAAAAAAAGAAGAGAGTCGCTCCTTCCATTAGCACATGTTGCAGGCAGAGTTAGGCAGAGTTATAATGGCAGATGCACTGTAGCATAGATGCGTCTACATTTGCCCATTTAAAAAAAAATTTCTGTCTTCCTTGCTGCTATGTAAAAAAAAAACCAAAACCCAACAACCATATAGAAAACAAGCAAACAATAACACAACTAATTATTTCCAATTACAGGCTGTAAACAAAAGAGAGGGTGTGGAGGTGCTCGTGCTTTTGACCTGTTATTTCAGTGGTATGAACCCTGTTCCTCTGCAAACCACAGACTACTTTCCTTTTAATCTTTCGGAAACATGAGCTACGAAAGTTTATCTGCTGACTAGCGGCTAAGTTAAATGGCTACAGTAGCCTAAAAGACTATGAAGAGTGATAATAAAAAGACAGCATCAAGATACACCTGAAAATAAGCTGCTTCTAGCTGTCATGTAGGGTTTCTTCACAAAGTATCCCAGCCACAGAACCAGCTCAGTGCTGCCTACCACACTGTACTCTCCTCTCTGGGCTAGTGTCTCATTAAATGTAGTCGGGGGTTCCAAAGACGTTACTGGGTGCAAATGGAGCTGTGAGGCATTTGCTAGGAAGTCCCCCTTTGACCTACCTTCCATCTTTTAATTTCCTGAAGTTTATTGAGCATCATTAACTTATTTTGCAAATTTGTGAGAATGCAAATAAGACACTGTTTAAACTTGTCATAGAATGAATGGCTTCTGATACGCTAGGGTTATTGGATATGATGTTTTCGCATACGTTCATTTTTAGGAAGTTAATTTAGTTATAATTGAATGCAGCGTCTTTATTCCCAGGAAATAGGACTTGCATTGCAAGAGGTTTTTAACATCTTCTGAAGTAAACATCACTAATGAGTCCTAACATTACAATGACTTCTCCATTTATGACATGTAATAGGCTTTCTCTAGACACCACGTATTAATAATACAGTAACAATGTGGCATTTGGGCTGCTTAAATGAAAGTAAGTTCTCCCTTGCTGACACCAGGTGTAAGGTGCTTATGTCATCAAAGATAACTGCAAAGTGTGAGCAGCACGTAAATAATTTTCTATTCCTATTTATTAAAGCTTTAGAAATTGGAAGAGTTATCAGTTTGAACACCATATAAACCACCTTGCAGTTAACAGGGAAGGGCAACAAAAATAATCAAAGTTGTGGACCAGCTTCCATACAAGGAACAAATAAACAAGATAAAGCTCTTCAGCCTGGAAAACGTGACTGAGCGGAGAAAAGAGAGAGGACTGTGAAATCATGAGGGACAGGGAATAGGTGACTCTGGATGAATTTACTGAAGCTTCCAATACAAGAATATCAAATAATACAAGGAGGAGGCAGGTGCTGAACAAACAAAATGAGATAATTCATCACTGAACTCACGCTTAGGCTATAGAGCACCCTGCTACAGAATGATGCAGATCTCGGAAGCTCACCTTGGTCCAAGAGACGAGGCTAACTTGACTTGCTTGACTAATCGCAAAATCTAAGTGCCTAGAAAATAATGAAGGCACAGATGAAGGGAAAAATCTGTCAGAGAAAGACAGAAGTACATTTGCACAAAGTCTTTGTCTAACCATCTGATTATTGGCAAAACCATAGCGAACTTCTAAAAGTACTTTAATGGATTAACCAAAATGAAAAAGCTGCTATATAAATTACATGCTTTCTTCTCCCAATTCTAGTTATTACTGACAAGAAACTGGAAAGAATACAAGTAATTAAATACAAACTGAAAGAGGCTTGATAAATTATTTCTGTTTTTTAATAATTTCTTGAAATATTTTATCTTATGCTATAATATACAAACCAAACAGTCTCATTTTACTCATGTTTTTGTTAAGCTCAGTAACATTTTTTCTAGGCCAGATAAAATGAAATAATATTGGATACTCATTGGGAAGCTATTGCTCTATTTCCCTTGATCTGTCAGCATATGGTATTTATGCATTTCCCTATGAGGCTTTGATAGAATATTGCTGATTTTAATCTATTGTATTTAATGTATTTTCATATCCAGTGACTGAGGGGTCACAGAGTAATGGGAATATTGACAGGTCTGGTTCTAAGCCCTTGGCCATAAAGCGAGCTTTAATGATGAGTGTTTACAAAAGGTGGACCGATGGGAAGCTAATAGAGGTTGTTCTCCATTGAGCAAAGACTGAAAGAAATATCTTGGTGTTGCAAAGGCGTTTACATGGATAAAAAGCACCACTGTGTTTGCCTGGGGGAAAAAAATATCTTCCTGCAAACCAGGCCTATTTTCTTCAAATAATCTCCAAGGAAACAGCCTCTGCCAAGCTAGGATCTGATTACCAGTTGCAGGCCTCAGACCATAGCTATTATTGTTTTAACATTTCTGCCTTCCTCTTTATCCCAGCGGGTACCAGGCTGTATGGGCTGCCATGTAACTTGACCTTGCTTGGAGATAAAAAGACAGGTTAGCACACAGCGATCGCAAAGCCAGAAGCAAAAAGACAGTATTTAGAAAAAAAAGGAGGGAGCTGGCACGGTATGATTATGTGTAATGTTCTATGCTGTGCGGCATGGGTGGCCCGACGAACAGTTCCTGTCAACGAAACCCAGACAGGAACTTGGACTTGGTCATAGTTTCTCCATTTTTAACCTTGTCTCTGCAGAGATGCTGTGATTTTCATCACTAAGATACTAATGATGATGATTTCCTGCAATATTTGAGATTATGAAAAAAAGGAAAGAAAAATGGAAGGAGAAAAACCACGAAATCTACATAAAATTGTAGTGCTTTCTGTAAACAAAATGACTAGTAAATCAGCAGAAAGAGCTGGATAGGAATCTTTAAGTCTTTGTTGCTGTTTTACTACTGTCCTCTGAGCTTTCCATGCAGCAAGCCAGTGAGCCCAGAGGTCAGCAGCAATTAGGCATGGCACGTTTTAAAGTGTCTCAGGGATGCTAAAGAAAATAAATGCTCAGTGATTAAGCATTTGGCATCTGAAAGCTGAAAAAAGTGTAACGGGGAAGAGAGAGTCTGTTGCGATCAGCCGTGGGTGCTCAGATTGGTGTGACAACTGTACGTCACACAAGTGGTCACTGTCAAAACCGAACCAAGCCACTGCTGCAAGGCCACAAGGTCCCAGCTAAGTCATGGTGGAGGCAAAGTAAGGGATTGATTTCCTTCGGCTTGTCTCAGCTACCACCTCATCTCACAAAACCAAAGCAAACTAAAACTCAGCTCATGGTAGTTTGCTGCTTCTGTGATTTCGTAAAGATTTCAAGCCAAGAGCAGTAGAAGCGTGTTTTTTCATATCAGACCATATGGCAGATAATAAATATCTGAGGTTCTGATCGCTGATAACTTCCTACATAGGCATGGGCAGAAAATGCGATTTCTGTAATCAGGTTTCCTGACAGATAATGCCACGTCATTCTTCACACATCCTCACTCTCTCTCTCTTATATCTTTAGGTTATAAGCTCTTCAGAGCAAGTACCCTTGTGGTGCTCTGATCACACTTAGAGCATTTTAGTACTGTTAGAGTATGTGTCAGATCAGAGAAAGGAGTTGCAGCTCAGTTAGCTCTAGTTAGGTGGGACTTCTGGTTGCAGTCTTGGCTTTATTTTGAATGGCTCCTCAAAATTATACAAGGTTCTGATCAAAGACAGAACAATACAACCTGTAGTCTCAGTCATCTGTACTGATGTCAGTTGGAGGAGCTGGTGCTTGTGAGGAGGCGGCCCGTTTGCAGCTTTCTAAATCCCAATTAGTTTTTCCAGCTATTAATTGCACATAGCAGAACACATTTTGCATCTTGGGCCTTTGGACTCATTGAGACCAAACCAAGGATTAAGCTGCTTGGGCCATCAAACCTGACTTTGCCCCGCGAAAGAAAAATCATGTACCTGCACCTACCTCAAAAGTGCTTGAGCTTCTCAACAGACAAAGAGTTAAGTTGCATGATGTGTTTGGAAAGCTTTATTTTCCTCATCATTTTACCTTGTGTGAATTCTGTGTGCTCAGGGATGACCAAAAAGCAAAAATCCCCAGGGAAAAAAAACAGCATTAAGCCTGGTTACAGCATCCTGCCACAGTTAGATGGTTCTTTTTTAACTATTTGATGGAAAAAACAAATTTACTTTCTTTATGGTTTTTTCCCCTTCCAGACACTCACAGCACCTGCTCCGTTTGCAGATGAAACAAGCTGTCAGTGCCAAGCCCCCCATGAGAAGCTAACGATTGCACAAGCCCGCCTGGGAACACCAGGTATGTGTAGAGAGCAACATTGGCAGGACCATGGGTGCTGGGACCGTGGGGCCAACGCGCCGCCTCTCCCTTACAAACATCTGTCAGCGCTCACTTGTGCCTTCCACTTGGAAGCAGAAGGGCCAGCCTGGTAGCTGGTGCTATCAGGTAATGGGGAAGAAACCAGTAACTAGAGGACCATTATCTTCTGCTAGAGAAACAACAGGAGAAAAGGTTTCAAGTTAGCGTTTGATGTTTTCATGGATGTCTGCATGTTGGTTTTAAGGCAGGCTTGCCAGCCCACTCCAGCCAGCCTGAAAATTGTGTTGTGTAGTGGCTACCTCCTGGATTCTCTTCACATACTGCCTCTGTATGCTGGAAAACCTCTTCTTTCACTGACATTTTTGTTGATCACATCAGACCTTAAGTGGCCTTAAAGGCCATTTGGCCTTTGAAAAGAAACCATGCCCAATTTTGGAACTCTCTATCTGGACATTTTTTCCAGACCTACCTTTGTGATTGGGCTGGGGAAACAGGATGATTTCACATAAAATCCCAAATACATAATTCAGCCCCCCCCCCCCCCCACCCACCACGACACACCCATAGC